CGTTAACCTCCACTGATAGATCGGGAAAGGGGTAAGAAGTAAACTTAAAGTTGTTTTTTTCGATGGAGAGAAACAGTGCAAGAGACAGGGAGAGATACCGAAAGACAGAGAAAAGAACAGAGATCAGTTATGAGCACAATAACATTTCCGAGAATTTGACAATTTTTAATTATTTAAATGTTGCATGGCATGCAAATGTCTCTTTCGATCGTGTTGTTTTTGAAGCAAGAGATGCATCGCTGATTTATCGAGGATACCCTAAGACTTCTCCTTAAATACTAACACTTAACCTGATCACCGATTCTGTTTGTGTTTTTTTGGAAAGCTTGATAATTTCAAGCTTTCTTTTCACAGGTTTGGGTATCGTTTCCTTATTTACCTTTGAAACAAAGACACAATGCAAAACTGTATTTTCTTTCTCAAGTCGAGTTTCATATCAAAAATTTTCGTTTAACTCCACCAGCCTATGTATATCAAGAAAGAGGTAAAAGCTAACCTATTTCGTTTTCTTTTAAAGAGAGAGAGAAGCAGAGCTGGAGACAGAGAAAAGAGACAGAGGAAGAAAAGGAGATCACTGGTGAGCACGATAACATTTCCGCGAATTTGAAAATTTTTAATTGTTTATAATTTGCATGGCGTGCAAATGTCTATTATGATCGTAGCTTTATTTGAAATAGAAGTATTAAGGAAGTTTCAAGACATATTCTACCAAGATAGTGTGCTCCTTAAGTTTTGGCTTCTCTTAAATTTTATAAATTTAAAGAGTTCAGTTTCTTGACGACTCGATCGATTTCTTGCTCTTACACGTCTATATAAGCTAACTTTTATGCCCATATGGGCAAATCAACAGAACACAATCACAACAGATTACTAAGGAAGACAGCTTTTTACAAAATAAACCTTATAAGGGTCTTTTCACAGGTTTGGGTATCGTTTTCCTTGTTTACCTTTGAAACTTGAAACGAAGACACAATGCAAAACTGATTTTTCTTTCTCAAGTTGAGTTTCATATCCATAATTTTCGTTAAACTTCATTGGTTTATCTAGAAATAAGTAAAAACTAACCTACGATGGTTTTTTTTAGAAAGAGATAGAAATAGTGCGAGAGACAAATTAAAGAGAGAGAGAGAGACAGAGGAAGAAACGGAGATCAGTGGTGAGCACGATAGCATTTCCGAGAATTTGAGAAATTTTTATTCATTTTTATAAAATTCATTAATAAGTTATGCACCAACAAATAGGCAGCATCTGAATCACATGTTTACCTCAGTAAACCCCAATATAAATTCACTGCATCAGTGAAAGCGCGGGGAGGGTTTGAAATTGTAGTCAGGAAAAGCAGGTGTTGATGAATCATGAATTAGTAGAATTATCAACAGGATTAATTTTCATAAAGATTTCAATCAGTTGTGCCGATGCAGATCAGAATTTTGACAATTTTCGCAAAATTTAGTTCCATTCAGTATACATTTTTGGCCAAATCGCATATCAAAGTCCCACGAAATACACCGCTCCATTTGCGCGAAACTGATTAAGTTCCGGCGAAAATAAGTAACATAGAGCCTATCCGTACTGACAGACAAAACTAGAATTGCCCCGACAAAATCAAAGGACAAATTTTGTCGTAATAAATTTTTGTCTCCTCTGTTGCATCTGCACTAAAAATGTCGAAGCTGTCAAAAAGCTGTCAAATTCGGTTGGTAACCAAAAATAACACCGATATTGTATTTCTTTATAATTTATTCAAGTTAGTTGTGTGCGCTAAAACATCAAACGTCTTGGCGGGATAATGAAACATGTTTAAATGCTTCGACTTGTGGCGTGTTTCTTCCCTTTAATTTCGCTCCAATGGCAGAAGAAATCATGCTTATGATGAGCCTAGTATTAAGACATCAATTTCTTAGACACCAAGCATCTCTTTTGATGATTGAACACCATAGAAGGCGGAGACGCCGGGCACGTCGTTGGTATTCATAAGGTGGCACATTCCATTGCCTGATCTGCTCATACGACTGGTCGCTGTTCGCCAATGGATTAAAACTCCAATTACCGGAATTCATCCCAAGTTAAAGTCGTAAAATCTGCGAGATTCGCAACGAAGGACAATTACTGCAATCTTTCGACAAACTGCACCCAATTCAGTTACCACACTGATGGTAGGATTTACGACAAATGCAAAATTGGGGATTCCAAAAGTGTTAAAACGACTTAGGATAAAATATATTAAATTTCACATGGGAACCAGGTGGACAATCAGACGTGGTTTGATGCTTCTCTGGTTTAAAGATTTAATTCTTGGAACCGAGAAGTTACAATTCATACACCAAACGTTTCGACACTCCTGTCTAGTGCTTTCATTAGGGGTGATCTAAACGCTCCAACAAGAGGTCCTTCTATAAGCTCACAAATTAGCTGCCCTTTTTTCTGACGAGGTGCAAATAGGCGTCAGGAAGTAAGCCGCCATCATCACGATTTAAGGGTGCCAGTCAGTCCTCTAGAGAAAAGTTTTGGCTACAGACTTTTTATGGCAAATAAGGTGGTGACAATCGAAAGCGAGGTATTTGTCGGTGTGGGTAGGTTTACGATAGACACTTGTCTCTAACTTCCCCTGTTCCCCTCTGTACGCATTTAATTCTAGAAAGGGCAAATTTAAATTTAATTCAAAAATAGACAGTTCTACTGGATTCAAGTGCGATAGGAAACGTTGGGTCTATAAATTGTAACTTTTCGGTTACATTCGTTAAATCCTTAAACCAGAGTAGCATCAAACCATGTCTGACTTAAGATAAATTCTGGAAAATGGAGGTGGAATCTTTGGTAACTATGTTGGCCGGTCTTACGATCTGAAAAGGCGCTGACGGAATTTAACGGCTTTGAAATTTTTAATGTAGGTACAACAGAGGAAACAAAAATTTGTCCTATGATTTTGTCGGGACAATTCTAGTTTTGTCCGCTGGGGCGGAAAGGCCCTAAGATACACGAAAACCCTCAGTAAGTTACAGCCCTTAAAATAACCTAAAATTGACACGTAATTAGCATCTCGGCGCGGATGATATGTCTGATGAGGTAGGCGCGTTCCGAGCCTACCCCAATACTTGACTAGCTTTACTGAAAAGATGGCATCCTAAAAAGTGGTACTTCTAGTATTTAACTGACCCGTGAGATTTATATTTGGTTAAGACCTGTATGCAGCTCAGAGGACATCTCAAACCCATCTCAAGGGCCATCCAGTTTTCCATCCCATTTAGTTACTTAGCCGTCGCCATTCCAGAGTATGTCTGACTATTTACTTTGCATTTTTTTTAGCAGTAACCTTCAAGAAAAATGCCGCTAAAATCGTTGATTTTCAAGCTTGTTTTAAGATTATCTTTAAATGGTGCGATGCCTGGATTGGGGTTTCTAGTAGATTTCGCTGAAGTGGCGAACGATTGCTGTAATGGTAATTATCTTGGTGCAGGATTAAGCCTAGTGTTTGGGTCTCTAAACGTTAGAGATTTCGCTTATTGGAGCACTTTGAAGGATGCCGCCAAAAAAAGTGCAAAAGATTCTGTTATTCAAGCTGCTAAAGAAATAGCGAAGACAGGTGGGAAGAAAATGGTGGGCAAGCAAGTTGCAAGTGCTCTGGCAAAAGGAGGGATGGAGCAAGCATTTACCGATGTGTTTTCCGCAGCTACCAAGATCACGTTTGACAACTTGGGGAAAACTGTGGGTTTGTCAATGATTTCTAGTGGTGGACATGAAGTAGGCAAGACCGTTTTTGGGGATGTTTTCCAGTTCCTTGGTGAGCCAGTTTTGGAAAACCTACTTAAAGGAGGCGCGAAACAAACTGCTCAAAGTTTTTCACATGAATGGATGAAGGAAGCAGCCAAAAGAAGCCTTGCGAAAGATTTTATCAAATATTCTTCAAAGAAATTTGCAAGAGAAATTAAAACGGCTGGTATCAAGGGAATTTTAAACACATATTTTAATGACCCATTTTCTATATTTTAAATGTTCCTTCGGGCTTAGACACCTTCTCGACATGCTCGTTCTTAGGGAAAGGGTCAACGGAAAGCCTGCTCCCTAGAAAAGTTCAGTATTTATTCCAACGTTTAAAAAAAGTCAAGCTGGCAGAAAATAAATCTTAGGTCCGGGCCTACGGACCTTTTGGCTGACTACCCTGATGTATATTGCCGCCTTTCTATTACAGCGAAGTCTTAAAGTCATAATTTTCTAAGTTTTTCATAACTAATTTTGGTTAGTTGAAAAGTTCATTCCATTGGAATGAAAGAATTAATCCTTTGCCAGGGTCACCAAACACTAGAATAAAGTGCCGTTAATTAATAAAATCAAACGAAAACATTACTTGTATAGACCAGGGAAGGAAATCTTGGATTGCAAATGGCAATTTTGAACAATTTAAACGAACTTTCTTTTGATCCGCAAACCGCGACGTAGCTCCTATAAAGTCAATTTTACGACTACATTTTATATTGCTGAAAAATTACTATCAGCCGCAAGTAGAAACAAGAAAATGGATCACCATCTGTCGATTGCTGGAACGTGAATATCAATCTCGTTCCCAGGGTCCTCTCTCTTCCTCCCTCGAGAAAGGAAGGGAGGGAGAGGACCCTAGGAACGAGGTTGTCCGATCATCTGTACTCTGAGAGATATCGCCTTTGTTTTCTACCAAAGGTTCCCAATAAGATTAACAGCAGCGGAAAATTTACCTATCTATTACCACTGTTGTAGATTTTAAATAATGGTCTTTATACTCTATACTGTCTACTATTAGTTTGTTTTCGAATGATTTATCAGAACTGAACTAAATGTACACTTTGTGACAGTTATGAAAGTTGAGTATTGGTCAACCGAATGTTTCTGTAACTATCAAGTTAACGGTTTAGTGTTTGTATTTGCTGGAAGCTGTATTTATTCTCGACAGTATGCGTTGATTATTAGGAGTTCTTAACAAACTGAACCAAATGTAAGCTTTGTTACAGGTGCCAGACTGAGACTAAGGGGTTAGAGTGAGTCATCGCTTAGTTCAAGTTTCACAATCTATGCACTAGTGTTTTTTTTTCCGGAGGATTTATCCGAACTGAAGCAAAGGTGTGCTTTGTTACGATTATTAGGGTTGAGTAATAGCCAACCAGATGTTTCTGTAACTATCAAGCTTATGGTTGTGTAGTGTTTTGTAGTGTTTTATCAAAGTTTGTGCTTGCTAGCAGTTGTATTTGTTCTTGATCGACAGTATACGTTGATATTAGGAGGTCTTAACAAACTGAACCGAATGTAGGCTTAGTTACTGTTATGAAGGTTGAATATAAGCCAACCGGATGTCTCTCTAAACTACAGGCCTGCGCGTATTCAGTGTTTTGTCAGTTAAAAGTTTGTATGCCGGTTATCCCCGTCTGTTTACGTTGATATTAAGAGGTGTTAACAAAATGAACCAAATGTAGGCTTAGTTACTGTTATGAAGGTTGATTATAAGCCAACCAGATATCTCTCTAAACAACAGGCCTGCGCGTATTCAGTGTTTTGTAGTGCTTTGTCAGTTGTAAGTTTGTATGGTTATCCCCGACTGTATACATTAACATTAGAAGGTCTTAACAAAAGGAACCAAATTTAGGCTTAGTTACTGCTACGAAGTTTGTGTATAAGCTAACCGGATGTCTCTGTAAACTACAAGCCTGGGGGTTTTCAGCGTTATGTAGTGTTTTATCATTTGAAAGTTTGTATAGTTATCCTCGACTGTATACATTGATATTAGGTGGTCTTAACAAAGTGAACCAAATGCAGGCTTTGTTACTGCTATGAAGGTTGAGTACTGGCCAACAGGATGTTTCTGTAACTATCAAGCTTACGCGTATTCAATGTTCTGAAGTGTTTTGTCAAAGTTGTTCTTTTGCTTATCAGCTGAAATTGTAGAGTACTTTGAGATTGAATGGTTACAATAATATATGCACCTTTTGTGTGTTCTAAAGGAAGTCTTTTGGTTATGTTATTTTAAAGTAAGGCAACAAACTCGACGGCTCCTGACAATGTAAGTTGTTTTCTGAACAATTACATGATCTGGGAATGACTTGCAATTTTGTGGTGATATTTACCGAACCGTCAAACACAGTTGTAAACTATTTACCCAAGTAACTCACATATTTCAGAGTTGGCTCTTATTTCAACCTTGGACTCTCAGAATTTTGCAAAATCATTTTCTGAAATCTTCTCAGGTGAAATTATTTTACCCAAAAAAAGGTCTAACATACCGCCGATCTACAGTTAAAGCCTACAGAGACTGAAAAAATTGCGAGCCCGATCGAAGCGTTGCAAACTCCAAGTTACCGCAATCTAATAAAAATATTCGTAAAATAGTAATTGTGCTAAGAAAGCCTGGTGGACTTCCCATTTTGAAGTTTAATTCAATTTTAAGATAATTTTAAAATACTTTAAAGGGTAACCTGAAACAAATTCTATTTGCCTTCAGGAGGGGAGAGAGAAAGGAAGGGGGGGGGGGGTGGGAGCACAGTTTTAGGGCAAAGTTCAAATGTAATAATGTCTCCTGTGGGGTTTTTGTATGTCATTAACACCATTACCCTAACTGGAACTAAGATATATTGAGTAATAAGTATTCCATCGTGTAATTAACACTACACTTCATTACAGGAGGCAAAAAATAATAATATAAAATTGCTTGTACCATTTTGACACACTCTAACAATTTTCAAGGTTGAATGTTTGAACATTTAAACCAGGCAGTAGGGAAACTTAAATTTCCTGTCAATTTATGTTTTCATACTTGATAAAATAAGTTTCCCAATAAAGAATAAAACTTTTCCTTGAAATATGTAAGCAATGGGGACAACGGCAACATAATCTCAAAACCACACCCACAGAATCTACAGTTTCTTTTCTCAAAGTTAATTTAAAGAATATTTCTTAAAATTTCAAATCAGAATGTCTAACTGCTCCAGATACATAGCTTAGAATAACACTACATTTACAAGTACTAGATCAATCCTTGATATGACCAATCCAATATTCTATGGATTCCATGGCAGTAATATGATTATTTGATACTCAATACCATATTTATTTGAACAAATGTCCTGGCAGCTTATTAAATTTTTGGAGCTTAAGAGTGGGTGCTCATTCAAGGCTGGGGGCTTATTCAATTTTCAACCTTTTTTTGGCAAGTAGTGAGTAAATTTTTTTTCTTACTATGTTTTTGTCATATTTGAATGAAATTAGTGGAGGTTACGAAAAGATAGTGCCAGTCTCTGAATCGTTCTGAAGTAATTCAAAGTTTTGAAGAATATTTATATTTAACTGCGTGGTTGTGAAGAGTGAGAGTGAATGGATGCGATCAGTATTTTTCTTCTCAACCGTTTGTAGTGCTGAATGTCGATCAATTTGTTGGGCCCTTTCAAATGCGCTCGCTTACGATGCAAAACTTGTTCTGTTATTCATAACGTAGAGAGAATTTCGGAACCCAAGACATCCATTAATATCACTGATTACTTCACGTGCGCCTCCGCCGATGTCATGCATCTACAGCATAACTTGCACTTATTGCAAAAAGATGTACGTTGGTGAAACAGGAAGACGACTAGGTGACCTATTCCGGGAACACTTTCGCGACGTAGAACGCATTCAAACTAGTCGCTAGACACTTTAATTTCCTTGATAATTCTAAGCAGCATACGACAGTATAGAACCTTCTCCTATTTTATCTTTCAAATCGACACTCTTAGTCCCCACGGTATCATCGAGCGCTTTCCATCCCACTAATTTATTCTTGCTTTCTCGTCACCATATTCCAACCAATAGTGTAGCTCCATTTTCTGCATATAAACCCACACATATCCCACAATACCTCGAATCGTTCTGACAAAGGGCGAACTCTTTTACGTTATCAACTCAGTTGATAATACTAATTTACCCTGTTATAACTATATCAGTTTGGATTCGTATAAAGGTGAGGATTCTTTTAAGGTTGTTCTGATAACTTTACCGGTTTGGTGATTGCTACTCGTTCCCAAAAAACTGTGAAATGCAAGTTCGTGGTGCGTGTGTATAGATTTGGTAAAGAATCGAAGCACAACACGTGCTGTACATTTTCAGCCAACATGCCAAATTCCCTTGCTTTGTTTTTTTTAATTGATCGCCAATTCCGTTTTATTTTTTGGAAAGTTTGATGATGTCACGCTTCCTTTCCACAGGTTTCAGTATGGTTTTCCGAGAAACCTAAGACACAAACTGTTTATTTTCTCAAGTCGCGTTTTTTATCCCTAATTTTCGTTAACTTCCACTGATACATCGAGATATTGTTTTCTTTTCGAGAGAGAGAAATACCAACGGAGAGAAATACCGAAAGACAAAGGAAGGAGCAGAGATCAGTGTTGAGCACGATAGCATTTCCGAGAATTTTGAATTATCTATATATTGCATGACATGCAATGTCTCTTATGATCACAGTTTTCATCACGATGTTCTTTTAAGTTGGGCATCGTTATTTATTGAGTACAACTTAGCAATTCCTCTCAAATCCTCAATCTTTACTTGATGAAAAATTCTGTTTCCGTTTCTTCGGAAAGCTTGATAATTTCAAGCTTCCTTTTCACAGGTCTCAGTATGGTTTTCCATGTTTACCTTTGACACAGGGACGTACTATGACAGTTGTTTTTCATTTGTCCAGTTGAGTTTCATATCCATCATTTTCGTTTAACTCCACTGGTATATCGAGAAAGAGGTAAAAAGCTAACCTACAATTGTTTTCTTTAAGAGAGAGATAGAAACAGTGCGAGAGACTGCGGAAGGAAGAGAGATCAGTGGTGAGCACGATAACATTTCCGAGAATTTTGAGTTATCTATATATCGCATCACATGCACAGTCTCTTATATTTACAGTATTCATCATAATGTTCTTTCAAGTTTAAGGGGTATTGCTAATTTATTGAGTATAACTTAGGATTTCCTCTAAAATCCTCAATCTTTACTTGATAACAAATTAT